GACTCTGAGCATGCTGACTCCTAGGACACTTAATTTGTTTGACATTTTAAATTCTGATAAGATGGTGCTCACTCCGGCTGCTGTGGATTACTTGAATGGGAGGTATGGGGTGGATTATGAGGACAGCGAGGAGGATGAGGAAGAAGAAGAAGATGGGGAAGGTCAGTCTTTTTGTTAATTAACTGGTTGATGTTCAATTCAATTTATGCATGATTGTGTTGTTTTGATTTGTTGTTTGCTTGTTAATAAGGTATTCTTGGTACAATTAGACAATTATTAACATTTTTGTATTTTAATGCTGTTGGGAAAATGGTTTAGTTTGAGAAAAAGAACTAGACGTTTTCCATCAGAGGGTTTAACTTTCTGGAGTTCAAATTTCAGGATTTAGATTCAAATAAAAGTATGCCTCTTTTTTCATTTTCTGCCTGTTCTCCTTATGGTTGCTGATGTTGTTAGTTTTGTGATAGGGGACTGCAAGTGAATAGCCTTGATGTGGAGACATTTGCTTTTTGAAAATGATAGTGCTTCTTGAAGAATATATAATGCTAGATGTACATTCATAGTGATGTCAAAAGATTAAGAAAGGGTTCTTGTCTATTTGTGTTGGGATTTAAATGCAAAATTAAGAGAATGCATGCTGCCTCTGTTTGTATGTATGTCGGAGAGACATGGTTTGTGAGTGTGTGTTTTGTCTTAGAGGACAGACAGCAATGGAATATGATAGATTTCTTGAGATGTGTCTTTCATTGATCCTTTGCATTCTTCAATGTGTTATGGCAGGAACTGAGGCAGATGAGAACACTGATGCAGCACAATGACCATTTCCTGGAAATCATGATATATTGTTCTTAGCTTAAAGAGCTTCTCCTATGCCTGGGACAATGGTAATGTTATGTTGAACTTGGAAGCTCTGGCATTATGCTAGCTGTTTTCGGAAATCTTTTTGGCTGTACTGTTTTTTTAGCAATTTGCATATGGTACACAAATTTTTTCCCAATTTAGGTCATCAACGGTGTGGCATATTCCCAACTACTGCTTCCTGGCTTTAGTCTTCAACCATATTTTCATATTGCTCTAGATTACTTTCAGTCGCTCATTCATGTATGCCGGAGGTAGATTTTGCAGTCCACATCAGATGAAACTCAGGTTGAGTTTTAGGATGGGTCAGATAATGATAATGGAGTAGGAGAGCGCATTGGGGTTCCCTTAGAAATTGTGGCGATAGTTAGTCCTGAATGATCAAATTCAACTCCAGTGTAATTGTCTCAGTCAAAAAGTATTTGGAAGAGCATTACATTTGGTACATTATTTTTTTTTCTTGGCAAATTGGTACATCGTTCATGAGAGGTGTGTTTTCTTACAAGTTCTGAAAAGTGAAGGGATAAAAGGTTGTGATGAATCTGATGTTTAATAAAAGCCATTTTTAGAAGTAATCCTAATCTGCGTTTTCAGAGTTAAACTTGTACGACATTCAAGTATTTTGAAATATCATATGGTAAAGAAAAAATTATTATTTGGAAGTTGAGTGCCTTGGGGCGTTTGCTATACTCATACGTCCGAGGGAGAGTGTTTTATAAAATTATTATAGTAAATATTTTTATAAGCCTGGATTAGCAAAATAAATCTTAATATAAGATTAAGAAGTTAATAATTATCCCTAATGAATTGGAATAAAAAATTATCTCTAATGAATCAGTGTGGTACACAATATCAAGTATTGCTAATTTTTTTATATTAAAAAAAATCAATTTGATACAAAAATTCATCAAAAGTATTATTATTTGAAAATGCATTGTTGTACGGGTTTAAACTATCTCAAAATATAAAATAAAAACTCTTTTTCAAAATATAAAATAACTCTTTAATAGGAAGAGAGCTTTCAATATTAAGTAATATTTTTTTATTAAAAAGTTAATATTTTATAATCAAAATGAGAAAATACTTTTTTTTATTAGAGCAAAAAGAGTTTTTTTTTTAAAATTTTTTTTAATTTTTTATTTTTTGGATTGGGACTTGAGAGGGCTAGTCCGACGTCGTTGCGAGAGGCATGCAATTGACACGTGGTGACTGGTGATACGACAACACTCGGATCGGTTTCAACGACTTACCGAGACACCGTTAGGATTCGTGAACTCAACGTCTCAACTTTCCTGTTGAGGAGAGAGAAGAAGGAAGTTCAGCAATTAGAATTAAACCCTTGAATTTGAGTTGATTGTCGAATTGGATCAACATTTTACAAGAACAAGAATCCAGTCTGCAGATGGCGAGGGAAGAGACTTCTTCTTCGACCCAAATCTATCATGAGAGGCAAAGACTGCAATTTTGCCTCTTGCACTCCCTCAACAATCTCTTTCAGGTACCCTTTTTCTCTCTGCCTCCGCTACTCTCTATGCTTTTGTTCTATTTGGTTCATCTCAAATTCCATTATTTGTTCAGGGAAACCCACCAAATCGAACATAAATTGAAAATTTCACATCTTTATTAGTTTTTTTATATGGGTTTATGATTAACATGGTGTACATGTGTTCTAATTCAGAAAAAGGATGCATTTAACAGAGCAAGTTTGGATGCAATTTCCGAGAAACTAGTTCTTGATGACCCAAATAAGGAAACTTGGACCCCGTTATCTTTGCTTTTCAAGCCTCACCATAATACAATTACTGGAAACTATGACATAAATGTTCTGATAGCAGCACTTGAAGGGAAAGGAAAGAGTGTAGTCTGGCATGATCGTCGAAATGACGCATCTTCTATTGATCTTGATGATGGGTCAGAAGGAACTTTGATGGGTATTGTGCTTAATGTTCCAGTTAAACGGTATGCTGGGCTTTGGAGAGGTAGGCACTGGATTGCATTGAGAAAGATTGATGGGGTTTGGTGTAATTTGGATAGTGATCTTTCTGCACCTCAGTCTTTTAATGGTGCTGAAGAGGTTAGGGAATTTTTGAATTACATCATTGGGCAGGGTGGAGAGGTTTTACTTGTCAAGAATGATACACAGTGAGTTCTCTTTACTTTGTGCAATTCACTGAGATTACAGCTTCCAAGCATGTTCATATTAAAGACTCTTTCTTGTTATTTTACTTGAAAAGATTGAGTTGCATCTTCTTTTCTTGAATTATTATTTCTTGATCCGTTAGTTCATTTTGGCTTGGAGCAATTGCTGATAATAAGGAGTTTGTGGTTTGGGGGATTCATTGGGGCATATTTTAAGGTGGTTTATGCTTTAGAGATGGTGATTGGAGATGTTGGATGACAATTCTGTTATTATATATCTGTTCTTGAGTAGCTTTTGAACGCAATGTTAAATTCTTGGTATTAAATGATAGGCTCTATGCTGTAACAGAGAATGGACAATGGTGCATGCCAAATGTTGATTTTTGTTTCCTCTACACTAACTACCATCTAATTTTTAGCATACTGGATACGTGTAGTTCCTTTTTGTCTTACGTGTGAAGTGTAATACTTGTTGGTGTTTGGATTAGATGTACCCAATATAATCTGTTGAAAGCATGGGGCAAGATAATTGAATAAAAAGGTTCTGCTCTTCTTTTCAGTGGTCTCAAAGTTGATGACTGAAGATAACTACAAAGTTAGCACTAGCTGCAATCTGATTATGCCTTCTTCTTTTTTTTCTTTTTTTTCTTTTTTTCTTTTTTTATTTTTCACTTTGCTGGTTGGATCCAAGTGTTGATATCTTTGGGCTTTATACTGGCTGCTGCTTGTTTAATTAAAAATCAAGTTAAGATCTATGCTTTTGGCTGGTTTTTTCTGATGAATATCCCCATTTGATCTTTTATCAACCGAAGTCTGGTTTCTTTTGTGCTCCAGCAAAGGTGTAGGCTAGTTACGAACTTACAGGGGAAAGGAGTCCGGTAGAGCTTAAAACGTCATCCACTTTTTCTTTATTTTGGCATACAGATTCTGAGGTTCGATTCCAAAACCTCTGGGATCTTTCTCTGCAAAGGAATACCCGACTCTGCTGCCATGTTAGTTTTGTAATGCCTTGCACTTGATTTCATAGATTTCATGGGTGGGAACTCTTTTGCTCAGAGTATTGGGTTGTTTTGGAATGAAAGCAGAACTCTAGCTGGCTCTATCATGTCATTTTAGATTGGACTTTAGATGAACCCACTGCATAGTCCATGTTATGAAGTGGATTTGTTATTTTTCTTTTGGCATTTGGAGACTAAATAAGAAGGCATTACGTATTAATCTTGTTTTTGCCTTTGTAATCATATCTCTTTGTCTGAAACTCCAGATAGAGAAAATCAAGTCCTTTATGGCTTTATGTTTTTAAAAACATCTGTTTGTGTCCCCATTTAATTATCATTCCATCCACCTTTGACACTTTGCCTCTGTTTTTTGTCAATCAAATTGATGGATCATCTCAATTTTTCCCAACTCTTTTCTCTTCAAACTAGAAGCATGGAATCTGAATCAGAAAAAGCATTTTCATCGTAAGCTTTCGATTCCAAGAGCCAAAAAATTTCTTGACTCTTTGCTCCATCAAAGAAGGTTTCACCGAAACTCTGCCTCATCTGATTTTCTTTCCAAAAGGGAAGAAAAAGGGTTATTGAAATAACAATTCCTTTCCCTCTTTCTGGACCTTCCACTTCTCTGTTTTTATTAGTAAAATCAAAAGAAACAAGGGACAAGCAGAGTCCTGAATCTTCTCGGATTTCATTTTCCCTCTTTTCTAAAAGTATATGGACTAACTTTGATGTGAGTTCTCTTTGTTTCTGCACCAAATAATTTTATAAACATTCAACCTCCTCGTGTGCACTATTCAAATGTTCATATTTAGGAATCAAAATGTCCCCACCGCACGCTGCAAACAATCATAACATTACATCTTTCTTTTGTAGCTTTGTGGACAAGCATTAGCTTTGTGGACAAGCATCTTTCCTTAATTTAGTCACCACACCACAAAAGAAAATTCAATTCCTAAGATAGCGAATGTTTTACTTGATCAAAGGAAAAAAGAATGATAGGCTTGAACCCATTTTCTTATGTTGTCTATTCAAGAATTTTACACATTTGTTTGGGCATAATTGATTTTTTTTCTAGTTTCAATTCTTTTCTTCTGTCCTGGCCTTGATAACTTCAGCTCAATGTTGTTGGCTTGTAGCATTCTGTGCTTTTTACGCGTCCACGCAGCTCCCACACCAGCCACACCACCTAACGCTTTAAATTGTACTACTACATTTTTCAGCCTCTACTTCTTCTCAACTTTCTCTTTCTCAAACGCTATCCAGATGTCTACTAGAGATGGTAACAAACCTAGTCAAAGTAAAGGAATCAACAATTCGAATGGTTCCGTTACAAGAAACCATCACAACATGGCTGACAGGAGCAGAGGAGTTGTGAGGAGTTGCGGGTTCATGGTGTGCAGAAGGTCAGATTTCTTCCCAGTGAGAATTCTCAAGCATCTTGGTGGTAAGGTAGCAGAAGGTGTGCGTTTGGTGTCTCTGAAAATAAGGCCTTCTCCTAAGGTTTCTTCAACATCAGGAAGATCAAAGCCATTTGTAACCCCTGTTGATACTCATAGAACTGAAGCCATTGAAGACTGCATAGAGTTCATCAACTCTTCTTCATCTTTGCCAAGATCGAATTCTCGTTCTGCCAATCCTCACTGAATCTTATCACATGATCACATCAATGGTAATATCGCAATCCTGAACACATTAGTTTCAGAAACTATTCTCCTACTTTTTACTTGCAATGTCATCTGTTCCTTAGTAGGTGTATCAAGTATGAAAGTACAATATCAAATGTATCTGGTTTTGCCTATGAATGTTGGTTCTTGTGGTTGAAATTTGCTGATGATGACAAAAATGATTGAAGCATCAAATACAATAAGATCCCAACAAAGCAGAAAGGACATGAGAACTGAGGAAATGAAAACATCACATCCGCCTTATTCATTTCCTAGATTCGATGCTTAATCTATTTTTCCTACCACTTTTTATTGTATTCTACACCACCTGTCCAATACTAGATTCCTGAGACAGAACAAACAGAATAGAACAGAACAAACACAGCAGTTTCTGCTGATTACTTCCTGTTTCTTTTTGTAGAAGTTCTGTTGGAGCACTTGAATGATTAATCTATGTAAAATAAATAAATAAATAATTTAAGAAATAGCTTAAGAGCAAAAGCAAAACATCTAATTCTTCAGAGGTTGAAAACAACTTAAAAAAAAAAAAAAGAAAAAAAGAAGAAAAACCTAAGATGAAGAAAACTGCATTTAGCAGTGTCTCAACAGAGAATATTTTGAGTGAAACAGGCACATACTCACTTTATTTATTCTTACAGACAAAATAATTAGACAAACACATAAATCCAAACTACAATTCCTTGTAAGAACCATGATTAATATAAGTTATACGCACTAATATTAGAAAGAAATAGAATATGAATAGTATATAGTAATATGATAAATAAATAAAGTAAAAGAAACAGTGTGCATTAGAAGGAAATTTAATGACTGACAAATTTGGCGTTCAAGAAAGAGCATTCCAATACCAAATACACAACAAGAATCGAAAGACCCCAATTTTCATCAGTTCTTGGCGAAAAGTCCACCAAATCCACCTTTCTTCTTTGGTTGTGGGATAGCAACAGTGCCCTTCCGGCCTCCGGTTGAGCCACCAGCCTTGCCATCCTCCACTTTCTTGAGAACGGGGTCAGTCTCATAGAACTGATCTTCCTTCTGCAAGTTTCCAAGAATCCAATCCAGCAGCCCTTTCTCCTCCTTGCTGCCTCCTTCCCCTTTGGCAGCTGTTGCAGCAAACACCCTTGTAGTAGAAGGAGCGAAGGATAAGGGAAGAGAAGCCATGGTCAAAACTTCAAAAGGTAGCTTAGTTTGAGCTTGTGAGTTGGAGACCAAAATTTGGGGTTAATATATTTTTCCAGAGGTTGATGATGAAACAAAATCAAAACCGTTGAATGGAGATTTTGAGATTGTGAGCAGAGTGTTTGAAGCACGAGCTCTCCACAAGTGTCTTATCTTCATTGCTGGGACTCAGTGAAGGAGATGATCTTAGCAGCTATGGTTTTAGGTGTGACACGTGGTCGAACTATAGCCCATCCTTGAAATTCACATGGGTCTGAGCCCATATTATATTTCTTCATAACAGGCCAGAGCCTACCACACTATAGTTCTTCAGTACATGATGAGCCTGGGACTGGTGGGAGCCCATTAATTTTGTCAAAGCTCTTTATTTTCAGTCCAAATCAATGTGGCTGTAACATCCTAGGGTTAGGACCCAACCTGAATAGGTTCTAATCTATTCTATGTCCATCTCACGGTTAGAACTTCCAACTACTCCCTAACATGGATTGAGACATCCGACACCGCATTAAGAATTTTAGAAAAGTGAAGGAGGTCAAGAAGATTGCACAATGCTTTTGTTACAAGAAATGGTAAATGTCACTCTCAAAATTGTGCTTCCTTTCCTTCCTAACTTTTGCATCTTTTGATTAATTATTTTTGTCCCGATGTACTTTCATTAACTAAGCATGAAAATTACTATCAATTCGTATTCTTATGCTTTCTTTGATTTGATCCTTTAACAACATCACTCCTATGTGACAAAATATTAGTAAAAGGTAATAATATTTGCACAACTTATTTACAAAACTTATTTGTACAACTTTTATTTATAATTTTTACATGTTATTAAATTATTTATGAGTAAACGTATACAATATTATGAGTCTTAATAAAATAAAAAGAGTTAATTATTTAATAATATATAAGGTTATATAAAAAATTTTTATATATATAAAAAATTTTTATATAAATAAAAATTATCTCTTGATAATTTTACATTAGTAAACTATCCATTTTTGTTCTTATGCTTTCTTTGATTTTGATTCTATGACAATGTCACCCCAATGTGATATAAGATTAGCAAATTCAAAAAAACAATATACATATATGCAAATTAAGTTTTTCCGGTATTTGACTCAAAATCTAGTGGCCGTACATGGTTTTGAGAAGGGATTGAAGAGCTAAAAGATTCAAAGGGGTTGGTGTCATTTTCCTCAAGGAAGGAAACAAAAATATATAAAAAAGAGAAACGTTTAGGTATCCTTAACTATTTTCTTTCTCCTAAAGTTTCTGCTCTCTAGAACCACTCAAAACAAAAGTGAGTCAAATTTCCCTTTAATTTTTTTTTTTTTGTAGAGGGACTTGATGATGAAGCTTTGTTTTGGGTCACATATGCAACTAATTTGGCGTTTAGGGATACTTTGCCGCAAAACCCAAATTTCTCATTGCGGGTACACCCTCCATAACCACCTCCCTTTATCTAGTGTCAAATAAGGTCAGCAAGATGATGTATAAGCAAAGGAAAAGCTCTCTCAAGTCATTGGGTTTGCCCTCCCTTAATTGGGTACAAGTGGACAATTAGTTGTCTTACTTTAGTCGATGAAAAATTAAAACTACTTATCTGTGCTTGTTCAAAACGCTTTACCAACGGTAATTCCTGTTTGATTATGACACTAGATCGCAGAGACGCTCCAACTACTCATTTTGAAATAAAAATTAGTACAGGAATCCAATATATGACACACCATTGAAAATTATTAATTAAATCTTTAATTTTTTGAGAGGTTAATAAAAAAAATTTTTTATAAAATTTTTAGTCTCAAAATAAATGATCTCTTTTTATCAAATTGAAGAGAAATTAATCTCAAGATATACCTGTAAGCCAACCTAAGAATATATCATCATTGATAAACCAAAAATATATAAATAAATCACCATGCCCTAATTAATTAAGTTGTTAAATTAAAGATTATTTACTTGTATACTGATTATCTGAGCAGTCAAATTCATCTCTATCCAATTGCCTTACAAAAAGTAAACAAAATAAATCAAGAGAAAACAGTTTGCCAAATCTAGATAAAAGAATTACTCCTGGATTGATTACTACCATTGCTAGGCAGAAAGAAAAAGATATACCATTGTTACCTCTTCTCTTGCTATGAAAAAAATGCTAATTGAACAAAGTATTTACAATCAATTATGAAGCCAACAAAACCCTTATCAGTCAAGCCAAGCCGGTAATCATAATAGAAAATAAGAAAATGATAAATACATCTTTTGATTCAATATACCCATTAACACCTATTAGTTTAATCATTAAAATTTGTAATTAAAAATTTTTTCACCTTAAATTTAATTTTAAAAATAATAAATTTTTAATAAATATGTTATAGAGTATTGAATTAAAAAATATAACAATTATTATCTTAAAAAAAAAAAAGGACACCTCAAAGAAAACATCTCTGAGTTGGTGGGATTGTTTAAGAAACTACAAGTGGTTGTAGGTACTCTTATATACCTTTCGCAATTGCACTTTTTTTAACTAACGTGAGATTGGGGCGTTATAGGTTTTTTTTTTTCACCATATTGCAACTAGGATTAATGTGAGAAGTGAAGCCAATTATAATGGATTAATTAGTCCAAGAAAAACCTCAAGACGTGTCAAAGCAAATACGCACAAGAACTTGTATTAGTGTCAATAATCTTGCATGGCTTAATTGACTTTTCGTGTTATGTTGATATTCTGCTCTCTCTCCCACAGTTCCTATCAACCCAAACACACCACGGAATTTTTCCCAACTACTCTTCCTAAAATCTTTATCACAATATATAACAACATTCTGCATCATCTCTCTCAATAACTCTGAACACATCAAATTAACAACCTCTCTTCCATGGAGACCCTGCTACTCTTCTTTGGCATTGTATCAGCGGTTTCTGCCTATGCCTTCTGGTTCTACCTCCTGGCACGGCGGCTTACAGGCCCAAAAGTTTGGCCGATCGTCGGTAGCCTTCCATTTCTGTTCATGAACCGGCAGAGAATTCATGACTGGATAGCTAGCAACCTCCGGGCAACGGGTGGCGCCTGCACGTACCAAACCTGTACGCTATGCCTCCCTTTCTTGGCCCGCAAGCAAGGGTTTTTTACAGTGACTTGCCACCCCAAGAACATTGAGCACATTCTCCGGACTCGGTTTGATAATTACCCCAAGGGACCACAGTGGCAGGAGGCCTTCCATGATCTTTTGGGGGAGGGGATTTTCAACAGCGACGGGGAAACATGGCTGATTCAGAGGAAGACGGCGGCGCTGGAGTTCACAACGAGGACTCTAAGGCAGGCCATGGCACGGTGGGTGAACCGGACAATTAAGAATCGATTGTGGTGTATTTTAGATAAGGCGGCGAAAGAAAACAGAGCTGTGGATTTGCAGGATTTGTTACTCCGATTGACGTTTGATAACATTTGTGGGCTCACATTCGGGAAAGACCCAGAAACACTTTCTCCTGAGTTACCAGAAAATCGGTTCGCCGTCGCATTTGACACCGCTACGGAGGCGACTCTGTACCGGTTTCTTTACCCTAGTTTCCAATGGAGATTGGGGAAATTTTTAGAGATTGGAACCGAGAAAACATTGAAACAGAGCCTCGAAATCGTTGACAATTACATGAATGACGCCGTCGCAGCGCGCAAAGAAAATCCATCAGATGATTTACTATCCCGTTTTATGAAAAAAAGAGATGTTAACGGTGATCTGTTTCCAACCTCTGTTCTCCAACGGATTGCTCTGAACTTCGTCCTTGCCGGACGCGACACTTCCTCAGTAGCCCTAAGCTGGTTCTTCTGGCTCGTGATGAACCAACCAGAGATCGAGAAGAAGATTATCAGCGAGATTTCAAGTGTCCTTCGGGAGACCCGCGGCGATAATAAACAGAAATGGCACGAAGAACCTTTGGATTTCGACGAAGCGGATAGATTGGTGTATCTGAAAGCAGCATTAGCCGAAACTCTGCGTTTATACCCATCAGCCCCAGAGGACTTCAAGTACGTTATACAGGACGATGTCTTACCGGACGGAACTTTTGTCCCCACCGGCTCAACAGTGACGTATTCCATTTATTCAGTGGGGAGAATGAAGACTATATGGGGTGAGGATTGCATGGAGTTCAAGCCGGAGCGATGGCTGTCACCTGAGGGTGACAAGTTCGAGGCACCAAAAGATGGGTATATGTTTGTGGCGTTCAATGCGGGACCAAGGACTTGCCTGGGGAAGGACTTGGCTTACCTTCAAATGAAGTCCGTGGCGTCCGCGGTGCTGCTGCGCTACCGGCTGTCACTGGTTCCCGGCCACCGTGTGGAGCAGAAGATGTCCCTGACTCTGTTCATGAAGAACGGCCTTCGTGTATACATGCATCCAAGAGCACTTGCGTAGAGACCGGAGAAGAGTGCTATCATTGATGAATCAAGTAGAGGATACACAAGTGCATTTGTTTTGTTTTGTTTTTACATTTAATTTAATCTCATAAGTCACAAATTGTTCGTTCGTGTTTATTTAAATTTATGTACTTTGAGCAGAGATTCATCATCTAAATTTGAAGGGTAAAATTAATTTGGGAGAGTAATGTCTTTGTTCTGTTAATTACGTATGTTTCCTATCCATAGATGTGGATTTTCATATGTTTTATCAAATAATAATTCAATAAAAACGCAGCTTCTTCCCTTTTGATAAGATCAAACCAAAATCAACAAAGTGGGTGTTAAGCAAATGCGTGCACATATGTTGAATTGTTGTAATACAAAGCGATTTCCACTTTTGGATCTTCCCCTTTTAAGATTAACAAGGGTGTTGGTTGGCTACCTTGGCTTATTATATTTTGCCTTACATGCTTTTAGCTAAAATCTTCACAAATGATGAAA